GGACCTGAGAGGTGTCTGAGGGGCAGGTGGGAAGTCCCCCAAGCCCACACCTGCGTGTCAGGCCCTGATGTAGCGGCACCTTGGGGGGCCACAGCACCAGCCCAGCAGCAATACGGGGGGGAGGTGGAGTGGCTCTCTTTTCCTGTGCAGGGACTGGGGGCAGGGCAGCTGGGACACACACTCCACCCCTGGTCCTGGGGAGGGGATGTGGCCGGGTGGCCAGTGTACAGGTGCAGAACACCTGGTGGAGGTGACAGTGGAGAGCTGGGGTCCACCCAGGGTTCCTTCTGGTCAGGGGCTGGGACACCCCACCCCACCCCGCATGGGCTCTGGGTGGCAAGCAGAGCTGGACTGGAGACCTGTGGGGTGGGCAGGGGTGACAACCCAGCACAGCCTGGGGGGCCGCTCAGGTCCTCAGCTGGCCAGGAGCCCCTCCTGGGGGCACAGTCAGCTTTTGTTGAGCCATGCAGAGGCAGAGGGATGGGGGGACANCCCCGCCTTTCTCTGGCCCCCAGCCAAGGGCATGCGCAGCCCTGCGCCCCCACAGGCCCCCTCTACCTGCTCCCTTGGGAACCTGAGCACCTGCTGTGGGCACCCATGAAATGGGGCCACTCCGCCCGCCCAGCCTTCCCTCAGGGTCTGAGAGGAGGGACATTGGTTTGGAATTGCCCCACAATCCTCCAGCCTTGCCCCCTCCCCAGGAGCAGAACGGAGACAGCCACCATGCAGGGGACTGGCGGGGGCCCAGCAGGGACTCGCTGCCCCTCCCCGTGAGGAGCAGGAAGTACCAGGAGGGTCCAGACGCTGAGAGGAGGCCCCGGGAGGGCGGCCACTCCCCGCTGGACAGCGCGGACGTCCGGGTGCAGGTGCCTCGCACGGTAGACGCCCCCCGAGGCAAAGCCACGGCTGGGGGGGAGACAATGTGAAAACCGCGTGGCAGCCCCTGCTCCACCGCCCATCCACGGTGCAGACCCAGGAGGCCAGGCTGGGCCCATCTCTCCAGGGAGGCAGAGGTCCCTGCTGGGCCACCTGACCCCCCACCTGGCCCTGTGCTGAACCTGGTGTGTGCTGGGTGCGGGGATGCGTGTGGACAGTTGTCGGCTGCACCCCAGCCTCAGGGAGGCCCAGGCCAATGGGGGACCTCCCAGGGCGCTCTGGGCTGGGCTGTTCCTGCACAGACAGGCCCCGCCTCTCTCTGTACCTCAGTTTCCATCTTTGTCACCAGCCAGGGGCTGGCTCTTCCTGGTCTTCAGGGGTTTTGCTCTCTGTCCCCGGCTCCCTCTCCCCTACCCCTACCCAATCCCCACCTGGGATCCTCCAGACCTATTTGCTAGTCACAGGAGTGTGTCCCCCGGAAACACCCGGCTGCATCTGCTGTGGGAGCCAGGCTGCACAGACCGCCCCTGACATCACACCTCCTGAAGTGGCTTGTCAGGGGCTCTGGCCTGCTGGGGGTCTGGGGTTAGCTGGAGCCCCAGAGAGGTGGGCAAGGCCCACCCAGTCCCTTGGGGTACCCTGGAGTCTCTGACCCCCAAGCCGAGGGACCTGAGAGGTGTCTGAGGGGCAGGTGGGAAGTCCCCCAAGCCCACACCTGCGTGTCAG